CAAACTTCAGCTCCAAGTCTAATGTTTCAGACATTTGGCTTCTATTCAGGTACGGATTGGACTGTCCAGTAGTTGACTAGACTTGAGAGATGTATTGGAAATACTAGTAGTAATCTGTGAATTCATTGTATTGATTGGCACTTGAGTGAAGTCAAACACAAGTCTTTCGCATTCACTCCTCATTCTGGATGGCGATGAAGGCGCTGAACTGCCTCTGTATTTGTCTCCCGGAGTCATCTCCTCATTGTGCGCCACTCCACAAGAGGACGATATTCGACATAATAATGGAGACAACGGCTCCACTAATAGCTGTTGTCTTTCTCGACACGGATTAGTCGGAGAGAAGACTTGTGTCTCGAATCCAAGCAATTGTCCCATAAAATTGAAATTTGGAGAAATTATTTTGCGCTTTGATTTCACGTATTCATAGGCCTCCTCCATACGAATCCGTTTGGTTGCCATTAGGTATGCCATACATATGGTGGCAGACCTACTGATGCCCGCGTGACAGTGGATCAGAACTTTTCCATTTGCATTCTTCACTGAATCTAAATCAACAAGAGTTACACAATCATCAATATTACAGCATATTATACTTGTTTAGACGAATAATATTTATACTGTATTTGTATCATCAATATTGCTTTGAGACAAAAAACATTTATTTAACATTCATTCAAGGCATTCTATGTAGAAGACATTTAACTTAAATATTTTAATTATTTATTAATTATAAGAAATTATTTTAACTCAAAATAAATATTTTATAAATATTATACTAAAGTATCGATTATCTGCTATTAAATGACTGAACATTTGTGCATATAATTTGAATTATATTTCTTAAATAAAGAATATTCTTACTTGTTAGTCAGATTATATTGTATTTGACAGATTATATTGATTAAATAAACTGAACATACACTAGAAAGTGATGGATTTATAAAGTACCTAGAATGAATGGTTGTAGAATGATTGAGTTATAAGTTATAACTGTAATTATAGTATTAACAAAGAATATGAGTCATATTATATTGTATTTATAATAAATTATATTATATGAGCAAACAATAATTGTAATCAATTGTATTTAAATAACTGATTTAAGAATCTTTTATTCAAAAATATTATTTTTATGTCAGAGAAGTTAATGGTATATTGCAGACAATCTTTATTAGTCTATAGGTCTCTAAACAAATAGAACTTATTAACACAGAATTAAATGTTACTACAGTATTAAGCTGTTAATTGTGAAACTAGATTAGAATAATGTTTTAAACTGTCTAAATATATTGTTCCTAATATTAATATTGATATTTTCAAGTTATTTCATAAGATTTCAAAATTGTTATTTATTCCAATGTTAACGAAACAATTTTTAAATAATGCTTTTTAATAATACTTATATGTAAATTTAAAATATAATAATTAGAGATTTGAGTTCTATATTAATAAATTTGAAATTAAATCAAATATAAGTAAAGAGCTGTTTATTTTGAATTGAGTTTTTGCGGAAATTATGATTTGAAGGGAATATGAGAGAGAAAGAGTGAAACTGTGATATGAGAAGCAGATAGTCTATATGTATAGTGTACTGTACTGTACATTACTGTATATTACAATATAGCGCACCGTACAGTAGTGTATAATACAATAAATACAAATATTGCTTAAATATTGTGCACAGCTTTCCAATAGTGCAACAGAACTGAATCAATGAAAAGATGGAAAGTGTTGTGATGGCAACCAAACTCCAATTTAGGTCAACTTAGAGCTCAGTTAGCTTTCCTTGACCTAAGACCTGATAGCGAGCTCTTAAAAAGCACTCAAATATCAGTCACCATTTCAATCCAATTATACTTATATTCACAATCAAACGAAAATCTTTTCATTTCTGTTCGACATTCATATAGTATTATTCATTTATATTTATTTAATATACTTAAATAAACTATTCGCAAAATACAAATATTTATTAATTACTCAACTATAATAACTATAATCTATTTTTTAGTTAAATTATTATATTTATAGGTAATTTAATGAAAATAGTCTCAAATAATAAACAATACAAGTCCAGTGATAGAATATTAATGATGCACTTGTTTGCACTCAATTGAATACAAAGTCAACATTCACATACTTTTTAATGACATTTTATTTGATTGGTTTAATGCTAATGATTTAATTAAAAACTTCTTTGTTATCTTTTGAAAGTGTGCAATAAATTTAGTAAATATTTCTAAACAAAACACTTATACATTATAATAAAACCAATATCCTATTTATCGATTACAATGAAATAAAATTAGTGATAAGATAATGAGCAAAGAGTTAGCAAGGCTTTAATGAGCAAGGCTTTAATATAGATTTGCAAAGAATCTCAATGTTCTCAATGATCTCATATGAGTGTGAAAGGGCTGGGATGTGGATGTGGTAAGAGGCGCGTGCCTTAAGCTTAGTGTGGAAGTGAGCACTTCCTGTATGCCATGGGATGCATATGATGTGGATGTGGAGGAATAACAAGAGTGAGGGCACAGCTGTCTTGTACTCTGTAACTATGATATGACTCGTGTATTGAGGCATCAATTGGATGGACAGGAAGTCCGACAACGGTTTTATCACATGTGCCGGAAGTCTGTTTTGTCGTTCAGTTTATTAAATCTAACGATAATATGACTGTTTGAATGAAAATATGGATTTGTGTGGGAATACAAATGGTTTGGTTTGCAATTTTGTCGTTCAATTAATTAACTATTTATTCATTGAGTTATAAGTAAACAAATGATGGTTTAGTTTCAATAAATTGATATTTAAAATGAAAAGTATAATGAAAGGCAATGGGAAGGCATTAATGAAAGGCAATGGGAAGGCATGAAAGTGGCAAATGTGCTCATAATAGACAAACAACGGACACATTGTTTGAAATAATCGATATTTGGAGAGCATTTTGACCGGAAAATGATTGTCTAATTGTGTATTGTTTTAAAGCGGAACCGACGCTAATATTGGATGATATGCTGTACTGACAGTTGTGTTAAGCATTCAATCATTGCTATAAACGTATGCCTGTATACTGTACTATACTATAGTACTATAGTCTGTATTGAATACGAAATGTCCAAAAAAGCAACGGAAGGAAACCTGTTTAAAGTGAATGAAAGGTGCGATCGTTTACAATGAAATTCCGGCAAATTCTCTCAAATATGTTTCCCATTTATCGACTAAAACCACAATTTTCACATTCCTTTCATTACATAAGCATTGATAGCATTCATAGTAATGATAACCAATAGACAGGAACAGCAATCATAAGGATGTGAGCCATTAAGAGTTGACTGAATTCTTATTTAATCAAATCATTTCCTAAATGAAGTTTTTGTGCAATTCAATGCCAAATCATGAATTCAATGTAAAACATATGCTCGTCAATAATTATACAGTAATGACTAAATCAATAGGTGTATTACATAAGTGAGCCTAGCATACGTATAAATGAGTACAAGTATACAGATTTGACTTTCATTTTGATTTGCCATAGAAATTCATTTCACTGTAACTCAATAGACGGACTTTGTTTAATGAGCAATGTGTATTTTAGATACGGTATGAATTTGAATAGAAACTATAATGTTATACAATTAGTTGGTATAATAAATAGAAATTTGTAAATACCTATGAAATCGATGGCTTCACTGAACCAAATACTAATGTCTTCGCTCTTGGAATCTTCAATAGGAATAGATTTATAAATAAAACAGTCCACGAAATGATTGGGACAGGTATGCGAAACATTAAGGAGAGCAGTAATGCCAAGATTTTTCAACATTGGTTTACAGGAGGCATGATATTCACTGCCCAGATATAAATAGGGTAGTATTTCGACGGGTTCAGCCTGGTCATTGCCAAAAGAGAGTGGTGCAACCATATCCACATTCAGGTTATTGTTTTTTGGTGTCCGTGGAGTTAGAAAGCCTTTAGGTGTAGACTTCATTGGCCAGGTATGGCTATGATTGCCGATTGGACTGCGACTAGATATGTTACTTGAGCTCGAAGTGCTCAATGGGTTTGGAACTGACGAGCCTTTTGTGCAAAAATATGGAAACATTTGTCGGAAATTCGCGAAACCCCCTAAAAAAGTATCAAAAAATATTATAAATAAACAAATTATTTAAAAAGATAAATATTATTCGTTTATATAATAAAATTCTTATGAATGGAGTGTTTCTACAAAATATTTACTCGTATTTGCTTTTGTTTAATCACTCCCACACAGTATGACTGAGAGCCTAATTAATGCCATTCTGTTATTATTGAATGAAATATTTGCTATACTTTACAACACCTACTCCTTCGCCAACTCTCATTCATATATTCAACGCAATCATTGAAACGTTTATTAATTCATAATTTATTTAATTATCAAATTTATAAAAATATATTTTAATAATATATTTATAATCGTTGTTTCATTTGGTAAACGATCAAATGTGTGAAAATATATTAATTATACAATTATGTTTAAATCTTGTTCAAATTCTAGGATCGATAAATCCTTATACGGTATAAATATTGTTTAATTCTGTACTTCTATATATCTATATATAAGTACCTATATATCAATAGATCATATATATTTTATAAACAATACTGTAATAAGGATATTATTCTGTAGTTAATTCTGAAATATAAAATACATTATATTATCATATACTATAGTAGCGACAAATAAATACCATATTCTTATAAATAATTTGTATTTTATTAAAAAAATACTTCAACTCGTCTCAAGTAATATACTGTATATTACTTATGGAAAAAGTCAAATAAATGTTTGAGATGTGAAGCAATGAAGAGTACCACAAAATGAGGTCATTTACAAAACGATCGAGTCATTACTCTGGTGCTTATTATTATTATTATATTGACATTGTTTTTGAATATCATTTCCGATTGATTGGTCACTAATTAAACAATTATTTTTGCAATATATTTAACACAAAAGTCCTGATATTTGTATGTATGATATTGTACCTTCGTAACAAGTGTTGCAGGTTACAGTATATTACTGTTAGGGAACCTCCACTATACTGGTATTGTTTAATATCAAATTGAGTTCTAATCATTAGGCTCTAATGTTTGAAGATAATTTAAATTTATAAATAATCATACGGATAAATTAATGTTACTATATAGTATATACGCTACAATAGATATCACACCACACTGTATAATATACTAACTGACTGTACCTGTATATACTTTTCTTGTATTTTCAAAGTGTTATAAACTATGTCTGGAAGAGCAACACATTTGAACATACAGTAAATGGAGATGGGAACTTTACATTTGATAAATCACATTCATGTATTATATAGGGTAGGAAATGTTCATAATGTTAAATGTGTGGTTAAAATAGTAAAATACATTTTAAGGAAATATATTTCCTATGGATTCGTTTTGGAGGATTGAAAATCAGTTTCAATAAATACCAATTCAAAGACTTGTTGTTCAGACAGGACTTAAGAATAGGTATTCTTTCAATGAATGTCTTTGATATGAGCACAAAAACACCACATTTTTCATACGAGTCTTTGCGGAATAATTGTCTGAACGGGAAGTAAGGAAACAACAGTTTAGGTGTTGTAACAAAAAAATTTATTTTAAACTTATTTATGCAGTGTTTTTGTCGTCTAAATAATTGTCAAAAAAGTGAACTACAGTACAGAAAATGGTGAAAATGTAGATTTGATTGTAAAAATATGAATCAAAGAAATGGATATGAGATGAATGAGTGGAATTGAAGATCAAAAGTGGCGCTCACGAGGCAGACTGTCTGAATGAATACATATACGGTATTATAACCGGAAACGTTTTGTCAAATGAGGCACACTTTCACTGAAATAAGCTTAAGATTGAGCGTAGAGTGAGTGCATCACAGCGAAGGACATTCACTATAGTAAGCGGCCCTCAAATCACTCACAAACGCGATTCGGTCTATGAATGAGTGGGTGAGTGGGTGTACCGTACAGTCTAGTACTGGTATAGATGCCTATTATACCCACATTGTTTTCAAATGATACTATCATATCTCATATACTGTATTAATCAAGATAATAATATTATATACTTAATATTATATATAATATTATTATACTTAAAAATGACAGACATTTGCTTATATTTGAATATTAAATGATATTAAATGGTAATTGCTTGTATTATGAAGTGAATTGTGCTAGAACAAGATGAACACTTGAATTGACCTCAAATCAAACATTTATAACGTAACTATACTTAAATTAAAAGTAATATTTGATAAAACATGGAAATATATTGACGAAAATATGTTTAAATGATTACAAATTGTATTTTCAACTTTGTTTGAACAAGTTTAGAATAATAATCTAAATATGATTAAGAATAGCACAATATTGTAGTGATATGAAAATGAAACACAAATGAACGTGGTACAGTATGACTGCTCACTTTATAAGTTACCGGTAATTGTCATAAGTCATATGTGATAATGAGTTCCGATTCATATCAAATTAAACATCGATAATAAATGCAATAACAGATAAGGCATTAATTACCGATAAGGCATTGAAACATTGTGATTTCATAATCGTATCCGATTCATATTACAATTATTTCAAATATTAACATTTAATTGAAGTTTAAGTTTTTCAAATAGAGGTTAAAAGGTTGGCGTGAATTGATGTGATAATCATATATTAATAGTTTATAAATAAATTGTAAATTAATAGACATTTCACAGTACTGTATATGACTGTAATGTTGAATGAAAACAATATAAGTAAATGTATGTTACTTATACTGTACCTGGTTAATTATAGCGGTAATAAAAGTGTTGTCTTGAAAATGAAGAGCACTTACCCTCTAAGAAGTGGACGCTCTTGAGGCCGACCTCCTGTTGAAGACAATTAGCCACATAAGAGCCGATGGACTCGGAGGCCAAATCTGTTTCTTCGTATAAGACGATTGGGTAATAGAAATGAGTGAAGAGTCGGTCTCTGATCTGTTGGTCAGGGATTATGGTCTTGAGTGGCAGTCGATTACCAGTTCTTCGTCTGTCAATGGATTGAATGGATTCATGGATTGGATGTATTGACTGGTGATATATTGATAGTGACATACCTGATGATGGCGGGGCAGTGAATGTTAATGGATTGGACAATATGTGAGTCATTATGGATGAGGAATGGTCGGCAGTCAACAATGAGCACATTGGAACCGTTGCCATCACTGGTCAGCATAACATCCAGAAGTTGTCTCACATGTTCACAAGAGATAGGTATCAAACCACTTGTCAAAGTCATTGTCATAATTGTCTCATTGGTTGAGCCAATCAAGGCACGATCTTCATGTGATACTCATGTGATTCTTGCGCTGCAATAGTTTCATATTAATAGCAAACCGTTTGCCGGTATTATGATTGTTATAACACATGACACTTACACTGAGCGCCAGTTTTGTCCATTTGTTTGAGAGGATTGAAGTTAGCGTTGATGTCAAACGCATCCATCGGATCCCCGAACGACACCTCATGGATCACATGAGTCATGTCGATGTGGTCGGGCTGTTGTTTAGCCGAATGGGTCGACACGTGGAAGTTGCCGGCGACCCGATTGATCTTAAATGAGCCCTCAAACCGACACCCAATGCCATCGTTGATCACTATCTTGTCGGTGTTGTCCACAAACCCCACCTCATGTCTGCCGTTCTCATCCTGGATGTCGAGTCCCACCACTAATACATCAACAGATCAACACATTTGCTCTAATGTCTCATCAATACTGACCAACACATGACAGCTTTGGAAGTGATATATTCAATCGGACGGCTATTTTGTCGCTCTCTCCCACGTTATCCACAAACAGTTCACTCGTTCTGTCAATCAATCACTTCCAGAGTTAGTGGTCATGTCTGCCATCAGTTACAAACGAATCAATTGAACCATTGGTTGCAATTGATCCACACTTTACCAGTCTATGTGTCTTACATTTGAGTGGAGATAAAGTCAAACAACTCTGAGATGAAGAGGAATGCAATCAAAAGGAGACAACAGATGGATATGACGGCGCCCGTCACAGTGGCCTGAGTCAGGTCTTTGGGTACTTTGCGGTAGACATCAAACCTATGTGACAGTCATCAGGGGTGAGCCACTTGTGTGAACACATTGTCAGACATACCGGCGGACATCGAAAGACATGACAAACCATTCAATTGATTCAATCGACAATCACTTCAAGTCAATGACAACAATGTTTGACAACAAACAGACAATCAGTACACGTGTTGTCAACAACTGTAACATTACCACCACTTCACTGCACTGCTCGCACACCCGTACTATACTATGCAATACAGATAAATGCATACTTAGGAGTGCAGTGAAGCCTTAAAAAGGGGAAATAATTACAGTACTGTACAGTGCAATACCGTATAAGATAATACCGTGTACATTTTTGTGTAGATATTGTACCAAGCAAAGTTGGTTTGTAAAAGTTGTCAAACAATAACTTTGCCGTATACAATATAACTGTAATATATTATTCAATATTACAGCACTAAATAATAATTATTAAGATTCTGATAATAATACAAGTTAAATAATATAAATTGATAATACTGTATTATAAAATTATATGCAATAATCTGTTTACAGAATACTGTATTTCGGTATATAATAATTTGATAAAGCACCATATATTAGTTAAAAACATATTGAAAGTTTTAATTTTTCTCTTGATTTAGACAATTATATTAATACTAAATGACTTGGTTTTCAAGATTTGGAAAGTGAAATAGTTACTAACTAAAAACTGCTAGATACTTGATATAACGCAGTGTACTTTAAATTTTGCAGTAAACATTTAATTAAAATATTGAAACTTATAATAAAAATTAAAAATTAAAAATCATATCATTTTAAAGCTTTGTTTTCAGACAGTAAATTAAAAAACTTTACTAAAGTTAACTTAATCAATAATTATTTATTAATGACTATTTACTCTCCATCAAAACTATTCGGGTTTGCGAGAGTTTCCCATTGAATAGCATTACGAGAACAGTGTTGTGTCGCGAGTTTCGAAAACACATACATTTTTATAACGGGTTTTGCATTGATAGCAAAAAGGGTTTGACCCTCTCGTACCTCTCGTTTATTAGCCATTATTTATTGATTACACATTCAATTGAAATCATTTCTTTTTTAATTTACTGTCTGAAAACAAAGCTTTAAAATGATATGATTTTTAATTTTTAATTATTATTATAAGTTTCAATATTTTAATTAAATGTTTACTGCAAAATTTAAAGTACACTGCGTTATTTTGAATTAACTAGAGTATTAATAATTGTTCAGAAGCTATTTACACAAAAATTTATTTTAATTAATGGAGAATTGAATACGAAAAATATTATTTTAAAAGATTAGTGAATTTCATGAAAACTAAATGCGATAAAAGTTTTAAAATGTTCAAACGTTTTCATTGAGTTGTAGTTTATCGGTTTAATGAATGCTTTGTGATTATACTCTACTATATTATCAGCGGTGGAATTGACTGTAAATCAGGTTTGACTGTAATTTAAATAAGTGTCGTTTGACTGTAATCTGAATATCATGTAATTTAATGGATTTATATTTGGTTTGATTACTGAAGAGATAGAAAGCGGATATGATTTCATGCAGTCTTTCAATTATAGTTTACGTCACCAGTTGTTTCGCAATTTTATCTTCAATTCAATGAATCTAATGTTTCGAGTAGTGGTTAATGTAGGCGTTGACCAACTGATCACTACTTAACCACTTTTATACTAAATCCATGGATTAATAGCACTTATTATGTGAAAAATATGAATTAACTAAATGAGTCCATTAACTAAATGAAATCCATAAGTATTGTGCTTAATTACAAATATTCATTGCCACTACATTTGAATTATCATTGCTTATCTTGTTTTATAAGTTATAAATTATAAATATACTGGTATTTGGGTAACCATTGTAAATTATTATTTTAATTATAAGCTTAATAAATATTGTACCATCTCTACATTAAGACCTACTAAATTATGATATAATATTCTAACATTGATCACCCTTTTTAGCTAGGCTATTTTGTGCACATTTGCCACAATAAATTTATACATCTCAGTGAGTATCAAATTAATTAAAATTTATCATGATATAAACTCAAGTCATTCATTTATCTGACAATTAGCTTTCAAACTAAGATAATTTTGTTTATTAATACAGTAGTAGATATAGTGTATAATATAATTTGTCAAATAATGTGATCATTGGTTTAGAATTCATACGAAATACTAAAAGGATTACAAATTGTAATTTACAATGAAATGTTTAGACCGCAGAGGAAGTGGGTTGACAGACACTGTATGTTCATATCATAATGATACTATCATTGATAACCGTAATAGTAATGGTTAGCAAATAGCCTAACTGTAAGGGTTATAACTCGAGGTGTAAGACATTCACATTCAACATTACTTACTTATTTCACACCGTTAGCATCAGAGTACACACCGGGTATCCTGAGCATAGATTACCAAACCAAATCGCTAGCAATATAGCTAACTACTTACTCACTTTGTGACATCCAAAGAGTCACAAAACACATGCTTTCCTATCACTTCGAAGACCTACTTTCCACACAAGTGTCATAATGACCATCATATGACATACGAAAGGTGCCAATGAAATCACATCAATAATTGTCATTCATATGCATTGAATGGACGGAAAGGGATGAGCGGGTCGTCAATGAATGGTAAGTATTGGGCGCACTATTTGGCGGCGGATGTGATGCAAGTGCGGGGCAGTCAAGAGAGTGTGCGCGCAATGCAAACATCAATGTATGTGTGTGTGAGAGAGTGTGACACACACACACTCACTCGTAACCAAAGTAACTAGCCAAACGAAAAGTAAGTATTCTAACACTCAGGCCAACTCTCTCTCAACACATGTTGACTATGTGAGTAGGTATCATATGACACTTGGTTTTGTTGACAAGTATTTGTGAATGAATTCAATGCATACATGACTACAGATGTGCTGTCATTACTATCATTGCTGTCACCACTGACTCACTGATCCCTTCCCTAGCCATCCATCGATTGATCCCAATTATCACCATTAAGTCTCTCCACATCTTAATTATCTTCAGATTTAATGCCGGCTTCAAAGCCATCGAAGTCTTCAAAGCCTTTCAAGTGTTTAAAGCGATCGCGAAATAAATTGTTTAATCCAATGATTGGCTCAACCAATGAGACAATTATGACAATGACTTTGACAAGTGGTTTGATACCTATCTCTTGTGAACATGTGAGACAACTTCTGGATGTTATGCTGACCAGTGATGGCAACGGTTCCAATGTATGATTGGCTCAACCAATGAGACAATTATGACAATGACTTTGACAAGTGGTTTGATACCTATCTCTTGTGAACATGTGAGACAACTTCTGGATGTTATGCTGACCAGTGATGGCAACGGTTCCAATGTCCTCATTGTTGACTGCCGACCATTCCTCATCCATAATGACTCGCATATTGTCCAATCCATTAACATTCACTGCCCCGCCATCATCAGGTATGTCACTATCAATATATCACCACTCAATACATCCAATCCATGAATCCATTGAATCCATTGACAGACGAAGAACTGGTAATCGACTGCCACTCAAGACCATCATCCCTGACCAACAGATCAGAGACCGACTCTTCACTCATTTCTATTACCCAATCGTCTTATACGAAGAAACAGATTTGGCCTCCGATTCCATCGGCTCTTATGTGGCTAATTGTCTTCAACAGGAGGTCGGCCTCAAGAGCGTCCACTTCTTAGAGGGTAAGTGCTCCTCATTTTCAAGACACAACTTTTATTACCGCTATAATTAACCAGGTACAGTATAAGTAACATACATTTACTTATATTGTTTTCATTCAACATTACAGTCATATACTGTGAAATGTTTATTAATTTACAATTTATTTATAAACTATTAATATATGATTATCACATCAATTCACGCCAACCTTTTAACCTCTATTTTAAAAACTTAAACTTCAATTAAATGTGAATATTTGAAATAATTGTAATATGAATCGGATACGATTATGAAATCACAATGTTTCAATGCCTTATCGGTAATTAATGCCTTATCTGTTATTGCATTTATTATCGATGTTTCATTTGATATGAATCGGAACTCATTATCACATATGACTACAATTACCGGTAACTTATAAAGTGAGCAGTCATACTGTACCACGTTCATTTGTGTTTCATTTTCATATCACTACAATATTGTGCTATTCTTAATCATATTTAGATTATTATTCTAAACTTGTTCAAACAAAGTTGAAAATACAATTTGTAATCATTTAAACATATTTTCGTCAATATATTTCCATGTTTTATCAAATATTACTTTTAATTTAAGTATAGTTACGTTATAAATGTTTGATTTGAGGTCAATTCAAGTGTTCATCTTGTTCTAGCACANGCTTATCTTGTTTTATAAGTTATAAATTATAAATATACTGGTATTTGGGTAACCATTGTAAATTATTATTTTAATTATAAGCTTAATAAATATTGTACCATCTCTACATTAAGACCTACTAAATTATGATATAATATTCTAACATTGATCACCCTTTTTAGCTAGGCTATTTTGTGCACATTTGCCAAAATAAATTTATACATCTCAGTGAGTATCAAATTAATTAAAATTTATCATGATATAAACTCAAGTCATTCATTTATCTGACAATTAGCTTTCAAAATAAGATAATTTTGTTTATTAATACAGTAGTAGATATAGTGTATAATATAATTTGTCAAATAATGTGATCATTGGTTTAGAATTCATACGAAATACTAAAAGGATTACAAATTGTAATTTACAATGAGATGTCAAATGTTTAGACCGCAGAGGAAGTGGGTTGACAGACACTGTATGTTCATATCATAATGATACTATCATTGATAACCGTAATAGTAATGGTTAGCAAATAGCCTAACTGTAAGGGTTATAACTCGAGGTGTAAGTGTAAGTGTAAGTTGTAATGAATGAATAAAGTGTGGCAATCGTAGTCTCATGTGTGGCCCATAGGACTCGTATCTAATGGTTTGGTTTAGCGATCGTTATATCGATTGATGAATGAGTGAAACACTGTTCCAAAGAGTCACAAAACACATGCTTTCCTATCACTTCGAAGACCTACTTTCCACACAAGTGTCATAATGACCATCATATGACATACGAGAGGTGCCAATGAAATCACATC